GTAAGTCATCTGTGTTCAAGTTGGTTTGAAATTGCTTGAGGCGTTCCAGAGGTGTGTGTGTGTGTGTGTGTGTTTCTATAAATCTTGGTGGGGGTGTGTGGAGTTCTGGCTTTGTTTCACTAAGTGAAATGATTGGTTGTGTGGTTGTATCATGATTGGTAGATTGGTGCTGATTGGTGCTGGCTGTGTGTCTATTGTTGTTTTGTGTTGTAACAGCCTGGGTGGTGGGTGGGGCTCATTTGTTGACTAGGACTAGTTTCCAAATGTCTGTGGAAGCCATGACTTGGATGTCTCGCCAATGGAAGGCAGATTGGAATCCCCCAGGATCATAAGCCTGGGGAAATCAACCGCCAATCTGGGTAACACCTCCAGCAGCTCTGGCAGGGCTGATGAAACATGGCAGGGAGACAGGTACATAACAAAAAGGCCCACCTGAACTCCAAGGCCCCATTTCACAAAAAGGGACTCACATCCGCCTATCTGAGGCATAGTGACCTCCTGAGGTCCGAGACTTTCCTTAATAACCACCGACGCCAGCACCCTGCCCCTGCCCTGGGCTCTCGGCTAGTGAAATGCCTGTAAGCCTGGTGGGCATAATTCACTAAGAGGAGTACCCCTCTCATGGCCCAGCCAGGTCTCTGTAATGCACGCCAGGTCTGCTCTACCCTCTTGTATGAGGTCGTAAATGTGGGAAGCCTTATGTGCCACAGACCTGGCATTAAGTGACACCAGCCGGGGACCAGGCTCCTGTAATCCCGAGTACCCAGGGATGCAAGAAGGGCGATGAGGATTGGAACACGTGATCGCTCTTAAACAGCAAACCCATGTCCCCCGAACATAATTTGGCCCTCAGTCCCCACAATATCTGCCTCTCCCACAAACAGTAGAGATGGTGAACCCCCCCAATGGAGTGGCTTAATGGCTCCCTCAGAATCCCAACCCTTCCCAGCACACCCAACCCATGCCCATTAGTTAGCTCTGGCCTGTGCCCTGGTAGACTCCCCCCCCCCAAGCCTGTCTGAGCCATCCGAATCAACTCCCCACACCATCCCCGGGGAAAGGCGGAGTTCCCAAAGGGAGTAAAGCTCTGGCACTGTATCACAAAAAGGAGAGTGTGGCATCAACCAAACGGGATGACATCATGGGGAGATGGAACGAGGAGATGACATGTCCATGGGGGGGGGACAGCCAACAGTGTTCAAGGGGGTAGCGGGAAGCTTATGTCCATCATAGCAATGGATGGTGTTAAGGACAATATGTAGGAGTAATGGCCAGATGTCAAAATCGCAGCAGATGATAAATTGCGAGGTGGTGAAGTGGCCAGTGATGGTGGCGATGAGGACAGTGGCGGCAGCAGAGGCTGCTCCAACAACTTCAACAACTCCAACAGCTAAGCTCCGTCCATGCCAGCCGCACTCATATCTGTCGCTGGAGCCACACTCTGTTGACCCAGTCCATAGTGTCACAAGAGGAGGGGCCAAATGGTCAAATGACACAGTAGAGTGGCTCAGGCAACGGAGGTGATATCAGAGGGAGCCACAATGAAGGACACCCCCCCCCATTCCAACTGCGCCCATGCCAACTACCGAAACCATCTTCCACTGGCATCAATATCCATGCCAGATGTCTCAGCCACTCCCCGCTGATCCAGTCTATCACGTCCATAAGCAAGGTGGAGGGGGGAACAACCGGGATAATACCACGGCATGGGGAGTGGCAGCTGCAGACACTCTCCATTCTCCTTTCACCACCAACCGACCCGTTTCACTCATGACATTCTGGCTACAAGGCAGGAAATCGCAGCTCAGGGGTATCCCCGAGGTCCCAGGAAGTTCTCATAGCTGGACTGGAAACGACGATGGAATAGGGTAACCCCTGCAAGCCCTGAGAAAGGCAATCATCTCCCCAAAGTTCTCCTCAAACGCGACAGGACACCATCTTGGGCATGCGCACCCAAGATGTCTTTGGGGTTTCTTAAGATGATGGCTATTTTTTGGTCAGTGTTGAAGGCTGTCTTGATATTGTATTTATGGAACTCTTGTAATATCGTGTTTCTGAGCTCTCTTGTGGTAAAATACATAACAATGTCCTGAGGGAGCTGCTTCTGCTTTGCCACCCAAGAATTAATGCGATAAACTTTATCAATTTGCCAGTCAAACTTAGCCCCCGGTCTTCCCAACAGACTATCAAAGGCTTCTGAAAAGATCTGTTTCAGGTTTTCCTGTTTTTCTTCACGCAACCCCTTTACTCTTAATGCCAGCTCCATTTGTCTGTACTGTATCATAATAATTTCTTTTTCAGCATTTTCAACTTTTTGTTGCACCACCTCTGTTTTCGATGTCAAATTAATATTAGCTTCATTAAGATCCTCTAAACTATCTTCAACTCCTGAAACATGTTCTGTCAGTACAGTTACAAGCCCCAGCATATCATCTTTAATTTTAGCAACCCTGGCATCAATTTTATCATACAGTATAGACAAATGGAGCTGGCATTAAGAGTAAAGGGG